ACAGGAAGAATCCAGTAGCAGAGTTCCGGAGGCTACAAAGGAAGATTGGAAATGAAATGTGAATAAGTTACTTTATTATTTCTTACTGAAAACCGTCACAGCACAACAATAATTAATACGTGTAAGTAGCTCTAGGAGATACTTTTGCTACGTGTTTCGGCCTTCAAAAGACCATCATCAGACAAATACATTAAATTTTCGTTATTAATTGCATGTCAATTATAGGATAAAGTGCTAAACTTCCAAGTGTATAAAATGGTATAAAACGAATATAAAATATAAATTACAATAAAAGTCGAAGTCTTAAAATAACCAGTTACATAGTCAAAAGTATATTTAAAAGTTGTATATGCGATGGTATTTGGAAGCTGGCAGTTGTAATCGTGATATATGTAATGCCTATAAGGACATATTATATACACAATGGCTGATATGGGGTTCGGAGGCCCGTTGTTATGTTGTATGTTATTATTTAACATTTGATACTATTTGAGGGGCGACTTCGATGTGTAAATTTCCGATCTGATGGAGGAATAGATTGCAACGTTACTTTATGTCTTATTGTTACAGTAATAATTTTGAGTGCTATAAATTTTGTAGTTACGACTGGTAGTTATCCAATAAATTAATAGCCAATCCAAACCCTCGTCTTAGTCACTAATACACGTGACAACATTAACAAGAAATTCCGGGAAGACCTAATCGTCTGCTTTCTTTGATAAAACACGGACTGCATGGGAAACGAAAGAACTAGAGGGAGAACATACAGACGTATAGGGAGCAAGGCGATTGATAAGCCTCATAACCTTAAAAAAATTAGGAGGTACACAGACAGATATAGAGGCACAGAAGGTAAACAGACAGCAACGTTTATCTCATGAGCCTCATTTTATTTCTTAAAAAAGAGGATAAAATAGGCTCAAAACCATCTGATGTTGATCCACTGAACCGAATCATGGAACGGTAGAATGAGACAATAAAATATATTGAACCATTAACACCGTTGACACTATGCTATTTTGTGTCAACAGTCCCAGAAATTAAAATAATTATGAATAAACTTAGAGAATAAGTCTTGGTAGAGAAGACGGAAACACAACAGCATTTGATCCATAACACAGCAAGATTTTTCAACATGGAATTAAATGTATTCTAAGCGCAGTATGTAAGGAACATTTTAACTCCTTGTTCCTTGGAATTTGAAGTTGATTTATAGGACTCCTCCAGTCATAACAGTATTACACGGAAAAAAATTACTCGAGTTGATCCCACGTTAGACTCTCAAGATATTTCTGCCCTTTTTTCCGCAGAGAAGCTTAAAGTAAAGAGCGGTCAGTNAGTATATGCAGGCATTTAAAATATATCCGTGGCGACCAGGTTTCCTCATCATGCATACCCTCACTCGCTCATGGAGCTGAGCCCTTCTTGAGAAGCCTCCTATTGTGCAGGTACCAAGATTTTCCCAGCATTTTATGGAACCCGAAGGTTCATTATCGTGTTCACAAGATCCCTCCACCGGTCCCTATCCTCAACCAGATCAATCCAATCCACACCATCCCATCCTATCTCTCTAAGATACGTTTTAATATCTTCCGCCCACCTATGTCTTGATCTTCCCAGTGGTCTCTTTCCTTCTGGCTTTTCCACCAACATCCTACATGAATTCCTCTTCTCCCCCATTCCTGGTACATGCCCAGCCCTTCTCACCCTCCTTGACTTGATAATTGTAATTATACTTGGAGAAGAGTACAAGTTATGAAGGTTCTCATTATGCATTATTCTCCAACCTCCCGTCACTTCAACTTCATCATGCGTACCAACCTGTGAAAACCGTTCCATGCTGGAAATGTTGTCCATCGTAAACGTTTTCCTGTGTCGCGAAATTTCCTTAACAGTCTGTATTTTTGTTTCATTTGGTGCTTACTTGCCAGAGTAGGCACTGCTAAAGACTCATGAACAGCAGAAAATATTATATAAGGAAATTTTTATACGCCTCTTAACCATCTAGAGTACAACGGTAATTAAAAGTTCTGCTTTAACGTTAGAATTCTTTGGCTGTAGAGTGCATAATATTGGTTTCGTATAATCCTCGGAATAACCAGCAACTATATCCCTAAACAATACTGACTGATCGATGTTTGTGATGCAGATGCAGTGAGTTCCCTGCGAGGTACGAATTGTATTCTTAAATATTGTATAGACGAAATTCATGCTTCAGAAATTCCAACCAAACATTGTAAAGCCTCGTCAAATTTCTTCCCTCTACTCTTAGCGAAGTCCACTTCATAATCCTCAAACAACCATCTACCAGAAAGACAAGCGGGCATTGCCTGGGAACTTTCAAAGCAGGAAATTTTATCTGTGAGCCTTAAAGTGTTATTTCTTTCATTAATTTCCTTCCTTCACTTCTCATCTTCACGTTTGGAGAAACTGAAAACAATAAATTTGATTAAATCACTGAAAATTAAGCAACAGTGGGCACGGATAGTTTTTGTGTGTGTGACCGCTTGACAATAGTACGTGCCGTTGTCTCGTAACATTTACACAAAATTTATTAGAAAAACTTCAAGTTGGCGGTATGCTGATTAGAAGTCGATACGCATCTGGAAGTTTCTGAGACCAGTGATCTCGAAATAGGTTTTATTGTTTTCCTCTATATTCAAGCAAATGCTGAGATGGTTTCCAAGTTTTAGGTTGCTACTGCCTGCTTCTCACTCAGCCCTCCATATTTAAATTCATAAAAATATACCCCTTCGCTCTTGAGGGCCCCAAATTTCCTCTCCAAACTATGCCAGTCAGTTTACCGGAAAATCAAAATTACGCAACTCTTTTCTACAGTGATTCACGAAAGTTACTAATATGAACAAAAAATCGTTCATGTACACCCAGGCTAATGAGAATTGCTCATGTCCTAGGTAGTTTCCAAGCTCGCCTCTGACGTGTCAGGTCGTCAGGCTGGTATGTCCCCCGTGGTATATATATATANACCCGGGCCACCGCATTGGGAAGCACGGTCAGTGTTCAGTAGAGTTGTGATGATGATGTTCAGAGATTCCTTTTATAGTCAGAAGAACAACAATTCTTTAATGTGAATAAAATGCCTAAATATTTTAATTCTATATAAAAATAAACAAATAACATAACATTATCTGACTCTCTTAACAGTGAGAGAAAACGTATATAGGAATTATCGTCTTGGAAAACTGCAGCGCTGTTCGGAAAGAACGTCTGGATCATGGGATGCACCTGATTACCCAACCTGTCCACGTACTCCCTTGCAGTAACTCGGCCATGAATAGTAATAACGGGACCAACAAGTTACTACGATATTGCTGTTCAAACCATCACAGAACCTTCTCCGGGTTTCACTGTTGGAACCAGGTATTGCTTCCTTCAGTGTTCTCCAAATGTAAACTCTTCCTGATGTAGGGAAAAGCTAGAAGCACGACTCATCTTACAAAATGACACGAGTGTTTCCAGTTGTCTGATGTTCTGGTTTTATGGTCGTGACACAATCTCTATTTCGGAAGCCGTTCGAAATAGGACACATGTACATATAGTACATTTCTGCTTATAATGACCGTTATTATAACTTCCAAGAATATTGACTTTCCTCTTGGGACATTCTGTATATGGATATATACAGGCTACTACATGTATGAGAAAGTAAAGAGATGAAATTCAATGCTACTTGAGCATCCAAGAAATTTCCCTTTCTACATAAGATATACGTAACCACGTTAGCTCAGCTGGTATAGTGACTGCTACGGAGTGAACGATTCCAGGCAGTGAGAAGAGATTTTTCTGTTTTTCGTAGTGTTCACACAGATTCTGGGGCTCAGCCATTATTCTATTCAGTTGGTATCGAGGGTTCTTTCCCCCAGGATAAAGCTTCCATCTAATACCGAGGTCTGGAAAGTGTGCACCTTCTCTCCCACTCCCCATACGTCTTAATACATTTGGACTTAATTGAGTTATTAAGCATAGGCATAATCTTACACTTCTTAAATTTTTATTATGATGTAAAAAATCTTAGTTAATAGTTTTGACTTTGGAGACCTCAGCATTAGTTAAACACTGTGGTTTGTTCTGTAGTGTGTGTGTATGATTTAAAAAGAAACAGCCATACCGTGGTGACAAGGGACTCACCTGTCATGGTAAGGTGCTAAGGAGAATATTTGGACTGACGATAGGTGAAGGGACAGAAGGTTGGAGAAAACTGCATAAAGAGGAGCTTCATAACTTCTGCTCTTCACCAAGTAAAATTACAACGACCAAGTCAAGGAGAATGAGATGGATAGGTATGTAGAATGCATGGATTAAAATATGAATGCATACAGAATTTTGGTAGGAAAGACAGAAGGCTGGAGACTACTAGGAAGGCCAAGACGTAGGTGGGTGGATAATATTAAAATGGATCTTAGAGAGATAAGATGGTGTGGTATGGGCTGGATTGATCTGGCTCATGATAGCAATCAATGGAGGGCTCTTGTGAGCACGGTAATAAACCTTCGGGTTCCGTAAAATGCTGGGAAGTTCTTGAGTAACTGAACTGACGGCTTCTCATGAAAATTTCATCTCCATGGATTGTCATAGGAAATTCGAAATTTTGAGAGCAGTAATGTACATTTACGTAGCCTTGCCTTGCTCCTTACTGACCTTCAAGTGAATGAGTTAAGTTTGATTTCAGATTCTCACAGCCGCGTCTACGGACAATGGGATGTAACACCATGCAGTCAGGTGGGATTCCACCGACGTTTCAGAGGATCATACTGTCTTAATCTTCAGGTTGAAAAATAGTACAGCAATTAACCAGTAAGAAGCACCAAACAAGCAAAGTTTGCTTTGTGTTGGTTACTTGCTTGGCCTATTCTTTGATACTGAAAAAGAAGGCAGTATATCCATCCGAAACGTCTGGACTTGAATGGCCTTATATCCCAGAAGATAACACTCTTGTAAATAAACTGAAATTACCTGCTTGTATCTTCTACTTGTTTTAGGAGCTGTGCCTGGAGTGTCTCCCTCGGTAGAGCGTGTTTTCTTACAAGAGAATTCGGAAACGTTTCCGTTCTTACTCCGGCAGTTCCATCGAAATATATTGGTAAGTTATTATGGATATCTGATATGTAGAACATGAGTATACAACATCACTTCATTGCCAGAGTTCCAGCTTCTTTCTTCAAGTATATAACTTCCGTGCACGCTTTCTCATCTTCACTTCCGGTTTTGGGACTTCTTATATGTTGAATAACGGCTGTTAAGTACACTGAAACGATATGTACGTCTGTTTAAGTAAATCTTAGTATAAAGTCAAAGATAAGAGAAAGTAAAGCAATATAACTTAGATTTACTGGATGTTTCCGTTTTATGAATGCCCTCACGATGTTACAGTTAAGTAGATAGACAGTTTTTACACACAATTCTTATCGCCGTTGATTAGAGAATTAATAAAAACATCGAGATACATAAAATATTATATAAAATTTATTTATCAAATTATTTATAATAATTTATCGTCTTTAGAACTGAAACGTTTTGTTTACTTTTATACGGAACAAAAAACCTGCTTCGTCAGCATTAGCAATTTATTCACACTGTTCTCTAAAACTGAAAATTAGCTGCTAAATCGCCCATTGGTTCTTGACTCACATCTCTCGTAGCTCTACAGACCTTTCTGAAAACATCTGGTAAGACTGAATAACTTAGCTGGTAACTCTACCCCAAATATCATTTCGAACCTTTCAATCGTTTCAAACAAAAAACCAGTTAATGTATACGCCAAATTTGGTAGCGTGAAACTAAAATAAAGTTTAGTTTTGTAATCCCTTTCGGATAATAACCGGTTCATCACAATATTTACAGCCATATCCTTTCACAGAGCTAGGCCCTCTCTTTGCATTGGTGCTCATTCACTTGGTTTTATTGGCTAGGTTTGTAGCAGAAATTTCTTCCTCATTTTCTATCCTAGTTCCATATGCATGTGCATGCTCTGTCACATATTTTGTTGCATATTTTCTTGTTACCTCCCGCCGAATTAGCCTGGTCTCAGGTGATTAAATAGCTGTGTGAACCTCATAGTGGTTGGTCAGTGATTGAGGTTAGCACTTTCTAAGGGACTCAAATGAGTAGATGTCTTCCCCCCTTCACCTGAGGACGGAAACAGATCCAGTTTCCTAAACGATGTGTTTTATAGATTCTAGAACCCCAGTAATTCCGAGGTCCCTTCTTGTTTTCCGTTTTTATGTGCGGAAGTTTCAGTCTCTTGGAAATAAATCTGTGCTGAAGTTTTCTCATTTTCGTAAGGGCAATTGGAATATTTCTGCCAAGAGGGGTCTCAGTTTTATACAGGTCAAATTTTAGTCCGGTTTCATCAGTGTAGTTATATGAAAAACTGGTCCCGTATTTCGTAAAGTCCCCCATTTATGCCTCATGGGTTCAAAATGAGGGCAAGTGGATTTCATTGCAGGCAAAAAAAAATTGTTTTCTGTCTGATCGTGTTGAAGTTTATAATCCACACAATTTTTTCCAATACATATTGTGACATGTTGACCCCTACCTCCCCAGCGGTGCGTGGCGGTGGCGTAACGCTCGCGTTCTTACGGTAATAGGCGAGTTCCCGCCCCGCCACTCCCCTCCGCGGTGACGTCACCGAGGGATATCGCGGTCGCTAGGCAACGCGAATCAACAGCGGCGACGTTACGATAGTAACAGCGGTGACCTCCGCTAGCGTTACATAGCAACAGAGCGCCAGGCAAAAGGGTGCCTATTACGTGGCCGTTTTCCCGTATTGTCCGATCGAGGCTACATAGGGAGAAGCGAAGGCTATTCACAGCCAGTTCTAGTGTGGCTACCGCAGTGTTGTACTGAGTCAGTCAGCGAGTCCTGGACCTATCGTCGAGTTAGCCAGCAACCAGTCAGTTGTATTGTGGCATTTGGAGTGTACTATTTGTGATACTGCAGATAGCAGTAATCGTCAGATTGTAATTTGGGTGATTGTAAGTGCGAGTGTGAAATAAAATTCGCTACATCGAGTACGTCGATAATTTATTTGTCGCGATATACGCCCGACACGCGACAATATTATTGTATAACATAAATTAACTCTTCCTCACTGTATATCCATCCAAGAGCCGAGTCAACTTGACCGAGGATGTGATAAGGTGCTGCCTGGTCAGGGCTGTCGTGCACCTAAAAAAACAGAGCTGGATGAGTATGGCGCAATTGTGGTATAATGATTAGTAGGGGAAATCCAAGAAACACTAAGATAAACGTTCTTCAACTCTGCTTGACACACCATTAATCCCAGATGACGTAGAATTGAACGAAATACTCCGCAGCGAGAAACAATTTCCTAGCCGGTTGTGTTGCCTTAACCCGTATTAGGCCATATTATTATTATTATTACTATTATGGGGCACGCGGTAGCGTAGTTGATTGAGGCACTACGCTACAAGCCGGAAGGTCGCGGGTTCGATTCCCGATGAGATCAATCGATTCTTAAATTAACTTAACCCAGCCGCATTATGACCCTGGGTTCGACTCAGCCTGTAACAGAAATGAGTACCAGGAATCTTCCTGGGGGTAAAAGGTGGCCGGCGCGTAAGGCTGACAACCTCACCGCCATCTATGAGTGATTGTCTAGAAAATATGGGAGCCTCGAATTCTCACAACCCTATCGACCTCCACTGCCTGTTATGGGGACAGCTTTACTTTTTATTATTATTATTATTATTATTATTATTATTATTATTAATATTATTATTATTATCATTATTATTACCATTATTGCGATTATTGGTCTATGAATTGCATGTTATTGATTAGTTAGGAGCATATGGTATTACTTTCATATAGTTGGATGTATTTAGCATAGAAAGGTGATTAGTGCTCTTATTTTAGTTCTCTACCTCAGATCTCTACCGATATGCTACTTAAGTATGTGAGTATGTGAGTGTGTTAATAATAATTCTACTCTCAGTTGCTTCGTAAATGTACTGAGTTAGACAGCAGAATTGCTTGTGGAATGGCCCTTACAAGAATATACTTAGTTGAAATATTTGACACTTCCTATTTCTAGCTACGATTTGCATTTTAACACCTCTGATGATCCACTTGTATACATTATACATCATAACGGATATTTAAAACATGATGTTATTATTATTATTAATGTTTTTAATTGAATAGCAAGATTTATGGAGTTAGTGATATAGAGATAATTCTTTTCGGTAAATGTCGAGAATTCGAAAACTGATTGTAGGATACTTGTCAGTGCCGTATATTTCTCTTATATTCTGGTCTTATTCCTAACTACTGGTAAATTTTTGAACTTAAAGACAAAGTGACAAACAGGGCTCTGCTTACATGTTATTATACAGTATGTCCCAGGAGGAAAGGACAATATTCTGGGAGGTCATATTATCGAACATTCTAAGCAAAAGAGCGTGCGTATGTACTATTCGAAACGGTTTCCGAGGTAGAGCTATTTCACTGTACAGTTCCAAAACTGTTCATAAGAAAGAGATATTACTTACTGTTTCTAATACCGGTATTTATTGCTCAAGTAAAAAGTTGGTACGGTTTACCCAGTATAATACATTTTCGAAAATTCCACAGTCAACATCAATACACTTTGTAACGCAACTCGTGTAAGGACATGACGTGTTGCTCGTCTGTACAGTGAAACAGCTCTACATCGGAAACCGTTCGGAATAGAACACGTGCACATATATAATTTTTTGTTTAGAATTGCCGATACTGTTACCTACAAGAACATTGAATTTCCTTCTGGGACACTCTGTATATACACATCTACAGTAGAACTTGGTTATAACGTCATCAAAGGGACCTAAAAATAGTGTCGTTATAAACGAATGTCGTTGTAACCGAAATGGGCACTTCCACAGTAGCCTTATGTAGTCACGTAAAAATCTACCAAAAACCGAGTTAAAATGTTGCATTTTTTTTTAGTGAAATACGTAGTTAAGTACAGACTAACGTAACATTAACGTGGAATTAATATAGATTCTCCATTTCGTTTGTACTGTAGAATTCACCAAACCAAATTCGCGGCATACATCGGATTTTTTTCCTCCCATTTTCTATTTCACGAATCATTTTAACTTTCTCTTGAATGCTTAAAACTTTCCTTTTCATTGCCATGTTTTCGCTACTGCACTTCTCTGGGTTTAGGCAGGAACACTACAGGGTAAGTAGACAATGTGAGGTCCTGTTAGACGAGATTCTAGGAAAGGAATGCAGTTAACCTGCCGCGTCCTCTTGCACTCTTCACGCAGTCCCACCCCACACCCTTGTTTTCGCATAAAACCCACGCTCCTCTTACAGCCCGCGGTCGTATTCTTCCAGGACAGTCACGTCAGCAAGTAGAGAAAGTGAGGGTAGGCAGACACATCGAACTTTCCCACGATATCAGAGAAATTCAGGAATGAAAATGACGTTACATACGAGGTTGATGCATTTGTGCATGTCGTACTAAGCAAGATATAAAAACAGTTGCTTTATGAGGAATTAGTTCGTACCATTGAATATTTGACGTAATAGACAAGGTGTCGCAGAAACCGATGTTGCTATAACCAAGTTTTACTGCATTTTGAAAAAGCTCTATAGCTGAATTTATGTCAAGATGGAAAGACGTGTGTAACATCTTTTAAATTGTAAACAGAAAAATGTTATGTAAGATTTGAGGTTTTCACGGCGTTGACTATGAAGAAAGCAGTCTTCTGGGATTTGGCACCGTATATTTGTGGTGTTAACGACGTTTCGGAGGAACGTATCGCCTCCATCTTCAGGATAGAAGGAAAATGTAAGAAATCCGCAAGTGAAGAGACTGTGAGAACCGGTAAATGCAGACTGGTGTTGGAAATATACACAGACTGCTTTCTTCAGAAAAATGTTAATTTAATATTTATTGTTAACATTTTTTTGTTTTCAATGATTTAATATTTTATTACTTATTAGCGTGAACCCTACTGAAATTTCTATGAGAAGTTACCGTGATTATCAACGTTCTACTTGATAACAGTGTTTTTATTTCGCTGTGGTCCGTTCTAATATACTACAGGAGAATTTGAAATCACAGTT